CGAGGAGCACCAAAGACGAGATGACGGGACGTAAACAAGAAGGACTTCGACGGGACACAACAAGAAGGACGACGCTGAAGCCAAGGTGACGGCAGAAGATGCCGTAGACAGAATGAAATGAAGATGGCTGACAAGAATAGCGGACCATGCAACGGCGCCGGATTAACGCTAGGGAGAAGAAGAAGAATTTCAGAAGAAGAGCGATTGAGTCCCGGTCGAACACACACACACACACTCCGGCACACTTCGTGTGCGTCTCGCCCGCCATGAACGGTCCTCTGTGCTCCTATATGCTCTTGGCACAAGCCATAAGCGTTCCCATTCTGCTGCCTGCATTCCTATCAAATTTGGACGTTCTAAATTCAAATTAACAATTTTCGCGCAAACTCGGCCTCTTGTGGGCGGAGTCTAGACTTGCTTCTTGTCTTCAGTGTTCGCATACTGCCGCCATCAAGTCAAGTCAGTACCTCTATCAAGTTTGAACACTCTAGGTCCAAGGGAACAAGAGCTATGAATTTTCGGTGGGACACGCACACGCACACATACATACAAAGACATTAGCTCGTCATAAGTAGTAGAATTCACTGATAGCGTCTACTAGGAGTTCAAACATTGCGACTGTTGATATACTCGGACCTACCTCACTGTAAAATTTCTCAACGACCACGACCAGCTGACTCGCTAACGGTCTATGATAGCGAGACTGGAGGTGACCAGACTTTGCGCGTGATGCGATGTGATGATCCCTTCAAAATGTGTAGATGGGCATCCATTTCATATAAGTGACCGACTTGACAACAGAAAAAGTGTTAACGCGCTAACATGACAATCCCATCTTGCGCCTTCCTTTAAGAATGTTGCTGCTGTGGAGTGTGTAGCCATATCGTCAGCAACCAGGCGGACTGCAGCGGAAAACCAAGACAACTTGCTCACAGGATATAAAAATTAGTAGGAAATAGAGCAAACCAATGTTAGCCATCAACGACACAGCGCCTTTCCGTCAGTTGACGAATGCCTGCGAAGCTATAGAAACTTTTCCCAATCAGACTTCATTCTACGCCCCGTCGTGAGCGGTCGACTAATTTATCGGGATGAACTCTTTGTCTGAGCAGAACACCCTACTGAACTCGTCGTCCCAGTCAGCAGCCAGTCTATTGGCCACTTCAATTTTCGACACCGATAGTATTCAGCTGCTGAGTCAGATCAATCAAATTCTGATTTCCAAAGCACCGGAAGTGGTACAACTCCTAAATCAGACCTTAAGTAAGTTGCCCTTTGTTATTACAGATGTAATGGAACAGAAAAGGGAGAGATCGGTTGTCATATACGGGATTCCTGGAGCCGAGAACGGAACCTTTTCATCGGGGCGCTAGGATCATACAGAGAAGTTCGTTTCCGGTATTCTTGACTCTTTAGATATTGAGAATAAGCCTGTTGAGGTGTACTTTGTTGAGGGAAAACCCCGCATTGTCAAATGTGTGTTCTCTTTACGTCGCTTTATGCTCGATATCTTATCCAAAGCTCGTACACTTCGTTGTTCACCCAAATACAAAGGAGTCTTTGTAAGCCGATCAACGACGATCGACGAACGTCAAAGGGAGCGCGAACTTCGAAGCCAAGCACGTGAGTTAAAAGACGAGGAGTGTGATGGCAAGAGAGTCTATGTCGTATACAAAGTGAGATCATCAAGGCGTCGGATATTCCCCGTGTGTAAAAGGTCTACACTTCCTCACTGCTTCTGGCAAAAAACTAGTCTCTCCCCAAACTCCATTCAATAAGTGTTTTATGCTCGACGCTCGTAGTCTCACGAATAAGATCAACCATCTACATTGCCTCATGGATACTCATGAGCCCGGGATTATTTTCATCACGAAAACATGGCTGAATAATAAAATGGCTGTCTCTGAACTCTGGTCTGTTTTCCCTTGTTCAGTAATTCGAAAGCATAGACATGATAGAGTAGGAGGAGGTGTGGCATTTTCATACACTACATGATTACATTCAAAAGAGTTGTTCTAGATTGCAGATCATTGACTTCCGATGTACTATGCCTTAATATCTGTTTGCCCAGCGCCGAAAAACAAAGAATTTCTCTAGTATACCGCTCACCGCAATCTACTGCAAATCAGGATGACCAATTGATTACTCCCTTGATTGTCCTATCTGTGACTGTGCCACATAACACAATTATTCCAGGAAACATTAATGTTGACATTGAATGGGAGGCCGGTGTGGCCTGTAATGCTGGCGCCCCAAGGTTCCTAGCTGCATTCGAAAGTCTATGGGTTACTTTTCCAAATAGAAAAGAGAAAATTCTCGATCTCATTTCATCGAATAAGCGCTGCATCGCTGATCCTTCTCCAAAAAATTTGAGCTGGACCAACCATGTGGGTGAAGTCAGCAGCAAAGCGCTCAGGTTGGTCCATTTTCTATTTAGGAATATCCATGGCGGCATGTGGACATGTGGATTACTCTTCAAATCATATATCCTTCTAATTTTGGAGTACTGCAGCCCCGTAGGAGTTCACACCTCATCAAAGATATCCAAAAACTGGAAAAGGTCCGGAAGACCTTTACGAGAATCTCATACTATAGAGTATTCCCTGATATGAACTATCCTTCTACTCTACCACCTTACAAAGACCGCCTTCACAAACTGTATTTGAGGAGTCTTCTCCACAAAAGATTTGTTTCTGATCTAGTTTTCGCTTTTAAGATAATGAAGACCCGCCCTTCAAAATTCTGGATATTTCGATCTTCCAGCGGACGTCGAGTTGGCTTCCAGATTTTTTGGTAACGCGGTAGGCAAATTTCATAAACAGCTTCAACACAACAGTTCATTCTATGCACTACTCGGTGGCTGCAGCGGCTAACTCCGTCCCTCGTATCGTGTCAAAACTCCTCTCAGTTCAAACCTGCACTGAAAAAGCTCAACTTATTGAGAGTTCTGGGTGTTGACGACGTGTCATACTCCATCTTCATGTTTTCGTCTCTAGTTGTATGTAGTTGTTCAGGCTTAGCAGTTTGACACTCTTTGACACACTTAGACATCCCTTCAACTCCAACAGAACAAATCCCTAGCTGGTCAAGGTGTTCCCTAGAACGTTGAAACGCGGCTATGACTACTATAGTCTTTAGTTTGCCGGTTCCACGTGGACGGTTGGCACACCCGTGTCTCGAAGTTTCGGTTTTCGGTACATGACCCCTCAAGTGGCGAGAG